TTATTCATTCATAGGGTCACCATGAGTTGGAAGTGACTTTACGGCACTTGACACGTTCGCGTATACACACACACACCAGAATAAAATTTTTAATTTAAAAATTATTAGAAGAAAGGAAGGAAATAAAAAGGCTTGTGAAACATAAGCTGTTAACAATGTTTAGTCTTTAATGCTGGCCTAGTCCCACACATTCATGTTAATCAGTTACTGATTTACTGGCATTAAATAATTATTTGCATATGCAAGGACCATTGCTGATTGAATGACACAGATATGTGTTGCCTCAGGCATGCTGATTTTTCAATGGAAGGTGTTTACAACTCAGCTGTGATTAATCAAGTAATGTGCAATTGCTTAGGAATCACTTCTGTGTTTTATCTCTCAGCAATTGAACATGTCATTCTCTAAGGAAAGATGATTTTAAGAAGGAAAAGTCTACATAATTTAAAAACTGTATAATAAATTAGGGAAGGAAATCATTCTGATTTAGACATCAGTACTGGATATTGTAGTATGACCTTGTTGAAAATGTGCACTCCTTGTAGTGTATTGAATAATGTATGACAGAATTGTGCTTCAGTTCATTCCTGTTCTTTCTTGCTTAGGGATTGTAGCAGTTGGTCTCATTAATGAAGCCATTGATCATGGAGATCCTACAAAAACACTAGAAACACTGCTGCTTCCTACAGTGAAGCTTCAGAATGTGAGAGCAGCAAATGCTCGGCATTACCAAGATGTACTGAGGAATGCAAAAACACTTAAATGTCAGGTAAGGGTCCCTAGCCTTTCTTTACTGCTTTACAAACTACTAAATGCCAAAACTGTCTGTAATTCCTTCCTTTGACACTTCCGCAAAATCTGTGTATTATCTCTTTATTACCAGTGACATTTGATCATGTAAAGTTAGCTGTTGTACTTTTGTGAATGGAACCTGAGCCTTAGGGTTAAAAAAAAAGTGGATATGGTTTTTCTGCACATTCCAGTTATTCCTGATTTACTTGGGAGTCAATCCACAAGCATTGGAATTCTGCACATCTGCCCTTCCTGTGCATTTTTGCTGTTGTGGAAACATTTTATTTTCTTCCACATGTGCCTTTAATAATGAGGATTTTCAAGGAAGGGTGCTGTCCTCATTGATGGTGTCATCAGTGGCACCACAGCCCCCCCCCCTTTTAAAGGCACATATTGCACTAAAATATCAACATATTCCTTTTATATCTCCATGAGGGAAGCAGCTGGAGAGGCCTCCTTTTTAAAAAAAATGAAAGCTGGGAATTCAGAGAACCTCCTAAGCCTGTTGTTACAATGCTCCAGCAATTTAGCAATATTTGCTGTTTTAAAAAATGAAATCACTCTTCTTCAGGGGGAGATGGAGTGGTTTGACCATGACAGTCCAGTCATCAAACAGTGGGCTGGAGGTGGGTGGGAGTGGGCAGGACAAAGAAAACTAACAGAAATACTATGCATGAGGAGAAAGCTGACCCAAAATTGGCTTCCAGAAAAACACTGGGGTAAAAGTGGTCTCAAAAGGACAGGAAAAAATCTGGAGGAAAACAAAAAAAACAAAGAAAGAATTGAAGGGGAAAAATGCATGCAGAAATCAGGAGATAAACTGAAGGAGAACTGACAGAAAGACCCCGTGACCCCATATGGAAAAGCCCCAACTTATAGTTTGCTCACTATCCTCCTAGTTCTATCTGCCACAGACATTTCAGCTATTCATAGGCAGGCTAGCCAACTGGATGCTTTAGTTCCTGGGATTAGAACTGGCCTGTTCCTTCGTTACTGGATTTGAGAGAGATGGAATTTTTCCAGCACAAGCAATCACATTCAAAACATAGTTTTCACGGACTTCCGGTTTATGGTGATGCACAGGCAGACGCATCTCCTGGACCTCTGGGGATGCAATCTGCACACCAGCGTGTAGGAGGGGCGCGATGGGTTGTGACCCCTCGGAACCTTGGTGAAAGGCTCCTAGCCAGGGGGCTTTTGAGGGGCGACCTCTTCCCCGGCATGATGCTGGAGAATTGAGGCGCTCCTCCGCCCCGATGGTCCTGCTGCTGAGTGTCCGCATGGACTTAGTGCTGCTGACCTGGACAAGCGTGGGAGATTGAGCGAAACAAACGATTGCCGAGCGAGGCCGGATGGCCGACAACGAGCATACTTTTCACAAAGGAACACCTCATTAAGCAACTTCTTCATACAACAAACAAATCTGTAATTTGTTTATGTTGAAGTTGTAGTTCTTTATTTAAAAACTGTGGGCCTCTTTGCATATGAAGAATTTTCCTACATTTTCCTACGTAGGTAGAAAGCAGCAAATCTGCATGTAGAGATTTGTATAGTATATGTTAGCATTGAGTGTTTCCTTAGACTTTCAATTCAATTCTGACCTTTAATGGCATAACATACACAATCAAGTATATACAGAATGTCCTTAGACTTTCTTAGCCATCAGAATATGCAGAGCATTTGCTTTCTAACTTGCCAACTGGTTCTTTGCTGTCCCTCAACCCAGTGCCTCTGCTCTTTATGCATTTGATAAAGCTTGTTGGAGGTGTGAGGCTAGCTCAGTGTAGTGCAGTGGTTAGTGAACTGAACAAGGACCTGGGAGGTTCAATTGCCTCTCTGGCATGAAGTTTGCTTGATGACCCTGGAGCCCATTCACTTTCTTTCAGCCTCACCCACATCATAGGATAGTTGTGAAGAACTGGGTGCACTGTTCTGAGCTCCTCTGGAGAAGGGGGTAGGAGTTCTAAAATGTACTAGATCGTTTATTGCTGCATGGTAGTTCAAAATCGTCACAGCAGAATTAGTTTAGAATAGCAAAAAAAGTCCTTTCACAAGGACACATTATTTTATTATTCTTCAAGCATCTGCTTCTTAGCCATGATAATTAAGCTATATAAGCAAATGTCTTTCAATAGTTTGTTTGAAGAAAACGTGTACATATTGATGTTTTTTGTATTAAAATGGCCATTTTCAAATCATTTGTCAAAAGTAAGTCCGACTGAACACAGCACAGCTTGGTTATGCATAAACCCTTAGGATCAATTAATTAATGTATTAAGCTTTAGCAGGGTTTTCTTTTTTACCTCTTGACATTGCCACTTATCTTAGTGTGCATTTGTTAATATGGCCTAGGGTAGCCTGGTCTTATCACATCTAGGAAGCTAAGTGGAGTTGGCCCTGGTTAGTACTTGGATGGGAGACCACCAAGGAATTCCAGAGCTGCTGCCCAGGGGCAGGCAATGTTAAAATCACCTCTGTTAGTCTCTTGCATTGAAAACATTATGGGGTCGCTATAAATCAGCTGCAACAACAGCGCTTTCCTTAGCATAACATTGGGCTCATCCCCTTGTTTTCTTCCTGGATCTTTTATCCTGGCTTGCCCCTTTCTCTTCCTTGAAAGCCTAGATGCCATGCACTCATCTCTCCTTTAGTCAGCCCCATGCCCCCAAAAGCTGGCTAAAAAGAAGAAGAAGAGGAGATTGGATTTATACCCCACCCTTCACTTGGAGTCTCAGAGCGGCTTACAAATTCCTTTCCCTTCCCCTCCCCACAACTGACCCCCTGTGAGGTGGATGGGGCTGAGAGAACTCTGACACAAACTGCTCTTTTTCAAGGACAGCTGTGCCAGAGCTTGTGACTGACCCAAGGACACATCAGCAGGTGCAAGTGGAGGAGTGGGGAATCAAACCCGGTTCTCCCAGATTAGAGTCCGCGCACTTAACCACTACACCAAACTGGCTCTCAGGTAATTCACCTGATGAGCAATCAGTATAATGTTACTTGGTGTGTAACACAGTAAGGTTCCCTAATGCAACTGGGTGACTAGATACCTTCCACTATTTTAGAAAAACCTGAAAGTGATATCACTTCTCTCTAGAAATCGCCAGTAATTCCTAGAGAGGACTGGTTTCCCTTGGAAGTGACATCATGCCATTGGCTCGACAAACTTGTTAAACATTTTGCCTGCCACCATTCGAAGTGACAGTGGGAAATGAGAGGTGGAGGAAGGGGATCCCCCACCAGTGGACTGGCAGCCCTGTGTATAGTTATCCCTGAGGTTATTCGCTATGTTGTCTTAAGAGATGTGGGGGAGATTGTAGGATTTATATTCCATAGGAAAATGTGTTTAACTTGTAACCTCATAACATAAGTATTGTGCTTGGTTATTCTACATTGGTCATGGAATCTGATGGTTACTATCCTAAGCTATGCATGTGGTGCAGATATTAGCAATGTCATATGGGAAATGTCTACAGTGAGTGGCAGCTACTCCTGAAATGTTCCATATAAGTTAGGCAATAATGTGAGATTAAGCATTGGTACTGCATTTGTGTTCCACTAATTACTTTTCAACTAAAAAGGGAAACATAAGAACCATCAAGAGAGTTAAAGATCTGTAGTTGATTGATCTGCTTTCTAACAGTTTTAGTTTGGCTTAAATCAGAGCTAGTTTATTGAAACGTGGATCTTAAAAATGGAAAATACAACTCTTCAAATACAATAGCTGATCAACCACATGAGACTTAGTTGCACATCATAGAAGTTGAAGTTGAATAAACTAGAATAACTTGTCTAGTTTACAATTCACATTATTCTTGTCAATTAACTTTTGTTACCATTTTAAATCTACTTCCATAATAGCAAAACTGCAATGTAGCTTCAATGAGCGATTGGAGGAAGTGTAACGTAACTTACAATTTAAAGATACCGTTTGTTGTTAAGAGGTATTTTAAAATTTCTTTTAATCATAAGAAAGCAATATATAAAAATAGGCCAACAAAATAAACCAGTGTGCTTACCATGTAGCCCCATGAGTTAACATTTGTTCTCACTTATTAGTCAGGTGTACCATAAGAGGACTGTTCATTAAACCATTTAAAACTTGTATCCATAATGTATGTGTTTTGCTAAAGTTTTACCATTACAAAAACATAATTCTTAAATAGTATTTCATGAACAAATCTGTATGTACAATTTTGTCAAGTGTATCACCTACATTCTTCCTGAGCTATTTTAGCCATGGTAAGATAAGCACTAGTCTTTCCTTTAACTTTGGATGTGAGGAAGTAAAGAAATGGATCAAGGCAGCTATTCAGACTGCTGAGGCTTAAAGCAATAAGGTAAAAGAAATACAAACTGTCTCCAGCACTGTGGTAGTAATTCACCTGATGAGCAATCAGTATAATGTTACTTGGTGTGTAACAAACAGCAAAAATACTGAGGATGAGGAGACTGATTTTAATGTACCAGAGCCACTTGTTCTTGTAAACTTTGAGCGTCCGGATAATCGAAAAGTAACAGAAAATAGCAATACAAAGGGGGATCACGAATCCAAAGACAGCCAGAGAGATGAAGTAATAAAACTGGAAAGGTGACGCAGTTTCACAGTCACTATGAACATCGTGGCAAGTAGAAATATTTAGTTGATCCAGATAATAGGTTTGCTTCGTTAAGCTCAGAGGCAACATGTATAAGAAGACAATGGTCCATATCATCCCGCAGGCAAATGTTGTCAAATGTTGCTTAGGCAAAGTCCTATAAGTGAATGGATGAACAATGGCCACGTAACGGCTAATGCTGATGCAAGTGAGGAGTAGAATGGAACAATACATGTTGCCATAGAAGATCACAGTCATGATTCGGCACATCGCTTCTCCAAATATCCAGTTATTTCCACTGAGGTGATATGCGATTTTGAATGGCAACGTAATGCAGAACAGAAAGTCTGAAATGGCTAGGTTGGTATAGAATATGGCAGTACGGACTGATCTCATTCTGAAAAACAGCATCCATAGAATGAGGGCATTTGATGGTACCCCTACTAAAACAACAGCTAAATACACTGCTGGTATCAGTTTTGTGCTCAGTGAGCTGGTGAGGTACTCCATTGTGGTATTGTTTAGTTTTAGTGATGAGGCATTGGATTTCCCACTAGAAAGCTTGTTTTGTTTGTTGTGGCTGGTCTTTGTCAGGCCTTCTATGGCAAAAGGAGGGATCTCCTCATCATGCTGGTCTTGGGGAGTGCCTCGGAAAGTCTTGATTACATGAGGTATATCGTCTTGACAGCCCAAACTGCTGCTGTTGCACTTGTTTTCTACAAGTCAAAGACAAACAGTTAAAGTGGCTGAAATTCAGACTTGAAGACATCAGTAAAAAGGATTTCTTAGCATATGATATTGCAGCAGGTTTTTTGCCTCTGCTGGAAAATCCCTTTAGTACAAGTTTGCAGTACTTGAGAACCCAAGGAATTTTCTGTTGTGTGCTTTAATTTTTAAAGGGACAAAAGCTCTTTTGCTTATGAAATTGGTTGTCATGCACCTTGTGTTTTGTTACTCTTAGCAACCCAGTCCCAAAAACTCCCACTGACTTAAATAACATGCTGTTTATTTAGAAAATAGGCCATATCTTCAGAGCCCTCCTCAATGTGGTTCACAAAGTAAAGCCAGAACAATAATGTAAGAAATTATGGATAATAGAAACAAGGCAGTGGCATGAAAACAGTACTCAGACATTCGGCACCTAAAATGAAATGCATAAAACAGTCCTTAGGCTAGATGCAAACAATAAAAAACAGCCTAAAACATACGGAATCCTTCAGTTAAAGCCTGGGTAAAAGGAAATGTGGTGGCTTGGTGTCTAAAGGACAGTAAGATAGGTGCCATATGAGCCTCAAGGTGGAGATAGCATTCAAAAGGTGAGATCCCACAATGCCTCTGGTCTCCACCTGCCTCCAGTCTGCTGTGGGGCACAGAGGATAGCACTTGAGAAGAGGTTCTTAAATACTGGAGTGGACAATACTCCCTAATAAGTTGTTTTTTAAGTCACCCAAGGACCTCAAGGCTCAAGTTACAAGGACAGAGCAAGATGAAGCCAGCCAGGTTTCACTAGACTGTATCTGGCTGTTATAAACATCAGATCCCATGTTCATTTGGACAGTTAAGGAGGGGTTTCTAATCTCAAAAAAGAACTGTGTATGTCCGTTAAGCCAGATAGTCAATGCAGTATCCCCAGCAAAAGCCTCTTCCTTATCCAGTGAACTCTTTTCAGATCACAACACCATATAATGGTGAAATTATCCCCCCTTGAAGTTCTCATGTTCAGATTAAATTTAAATTTAAAGAAGCTTGCTAACTGCACAGGATACACATGCCGTATAGATCATATTGGGTGACAGAGGTTTGTTTTCCTTTTCCATAACTTTGGCTGAAGTTAGATTCAGGTGGTTAGCCATGTTGTTCTGAAGCATTAGAACAAAGTTTAACTCCAGTGGCACCTTTAAGACCAACAAAGTTTAATTCTGGGTATAAGCATTCATGTGCATGCCCACATGGAACAAAGTTTGAGTCCAGTGGTATTAGATAAAGTGCGCATGCACATGAAAGCGTATATCCAGAATTAAACTTTGTTGGTCTTAAAGGTGCCACTGGGCTCAAATTTTGTTCTTTGACTGAAGTGTTTAAATTATGTGTGCATGTATGTGAACCCAAGGGCAGTACTAAGAATTTTCCCTGTGAATGTACCAAAGAAATTAAACGCTTTTTCATTAATTCACTACAGTTTTAGTGCTAAATGCTTTTTCACTTTATAGAAAGAGGTTATTTGCAGGACTTTTCTGGCCATTAATAAACTCCCGGGCAGTGGAAATTGCTAATAAAAATGGTATGTTATGTGTGTCATTAAATCAATATTCTGCAACTCCTTCATTTTTGTAGACTGAGGGACTGTTCCCCCAATAATTCCTTGACATTTACTTTATTTGGTCTAAGGGATGTTACTGAATGCTTTATTGAAGATGCCTAGCTAAATGTTGCTAATGAAAATTAGGTATGTTGCATGCCTTCTCTTTTTCTGCCTGTAAAAATATTATTTATTTACTGAATTAATATTATTTATACCTCATCTTTCTTTCATTGTCAATCCCAACTGTATAGGCTTTGGAGAGGTCTTCCATCTAGGCAGTGACCAGACATTTTACCTCCATAGCTCAGCAAAGTTGCCAAATCTCTCTCTCATATATATATATATATATATATATAAATATAAATTTCATCTTTCTTTCATTGTCAATCCCAACTGTATAGGCTTTGGAGAGGTCTTCCATCTAGGCAGTGACCAGACATTTTACCTCCATAGCTCAGCAAAGTTGCTAAATCTCTCTCTCATATATATATATAAATATAAATTTATATAAATTTTAATTTGGTTAATATTGCCCATTATTTTTAAAAACACTTAGACATACAGCACAGAGAATATGAATGTCTTACCTTTCTGGCATAAACTGGAGGAGAGGAAGAGCAGTCCACTTGTTAATAGGAGCAGAATTTTCATTATGGCAGTTCAGATTTTTCCAAAGTGTGTTTTAGCTTAATGATGTCTTAAAACAGACTGTAGCAAAAAATTGCTTGGAGCTTCAGATCTGTGTAGGCAAATCATTCTGTACATACTGGACGTGGGAAACCAAGCCAGTCTCTTTAAGAAGGGTGTGACCAAGCTGTATGTGGCAACTCGCATGACTGCTCAGCCAACACTCAAGAGATTAGTTTCCTTTATACAAGAACACATTAACTCCTGAATTGCCATAAGTCAAGAGGAAGAGAGTCTCTAGAATTTTAAACTTATTATGTAGGAACTCTTATATTTGAGGATAGGGTTAGATGTTAACAGTCTTTATGCATAGCAGAATAAAATATGATACAGTGATAATAGACATACCGTATTTTCCTGCGTATAAGACTACTTTTTAACCCAGGGAAATCTTCTCAGAAGTGGGGGGTCGTCTTATACGCCGGAAAATACGGTATATGTAAGGAGCGAGGAATCCTTGCCGATTCAACAAGATTAAAGAACTGAAATTTATGGAAATATGTAGTTACAGTCAAAGCTTTGTATAACTTTGTGAAGAAATTCAAGATAAGATTCTTGAAAGATAGGCTTGTAGAACTTTGAATTGGTCTGATGTGTTCTTCCATGGCAGTGCCTCTTTATTTAGCAACTAGAGAAGTATACACAGAGAAGTTCTGTCGATTTTAAATGATCTCCTATCAGAATTAATGATGACTGCCAGCTCATTCTTGGAGATACTGTCAAAAACAAATCCAAAGATTCAAATTTCAATCATTATGTTTCCCACATGTATTTTCTCTTATAATCTCTTATAATGGCCCTAACTCAGAGGAAGGAAGAAGATAACTCTTGTTCTTGAAGTAATCTCTATGCAGGTAAAGGTTTGATGCAGGAATGATATTTGTTTCCTTTCTCAAGTGGGGAGAATGGGAACAGGGGGGTTTCAGGCCTCATAGTTGATGCCTGCCAATGGAGGGCAGTCTTGACAAGCTGCCTTCTGTGACTGTCAAGATATTCCTCCCCAGAATAGTGCTGAACAAACAGGTCTATGGGCTTGCTTGCTGAATTTCTGGCAGAATGAGAATCTGTATGTGTTATGTTATGTCCCTTATGCTGGCAAATTCGGAGGTGGTTGTTATCTGAAACGTGGACTTTGCTCCTACTGCCCCAGCGCTAGAAAAGGAATTTTCTGGGAAATCCAGTGCAGCTGAAAAACCTAATGGAGATCTAAACACATAAGAGTAAATTCTACTACAGCCATGGCACTCAAGGCAACAGTTCCTTCTGCCTCTGACTATAGCAGCCTACAGAGATTGAGCAATAAGGCACTTTTTCCACCCTTTGGGGTGCATGCTGTCCAGGCAGGAAGCTCTTAACTGAGGCCACTTCCGCACTGTCGTTTTTGTCACTCTTTTGTCTCTGTTGCTTTGGGTTCCCCCCTCCCCTTTTCCACATGTGTTTTGGCTCCCTCTGGAACTACTAGAGAGAGCAAAACACATTGGGGGGGGGGGACCCCTGAAGCAATAGGGACCAGCAAGTAACAAAAATGACAATGCGGAAGTGGCCTGAGAGTGGAGAAGCAGCCTCCAGTCACAGATACCTGTGGCATTTGTTGTTCAAATTGTGCAGCCCAATTTTTTGCTGTGAATTCTACCCATTTGGTTGTAGTTATAGACTGCAAGCCAAACTGTTATGTGTAAGAGTATGAGAATAGGGTCTCCACTTGAATCCATGTGAAATCATGTGGGCAGGGAGTTTGTCATTCATAGTGCTTTAAGCTTTTACTCCACTTTGCCCATTTTATTCCCTGACACTTATTTTTCATGTCCCAATTTTTGCAAATTTATTTACACCTATATGTATGTCTTTCTGCCTCTCTGTAAATTGCAGTTGTGGTTGTTAATTTACAGGCCAAATTCTGGTGAAAATAACCAACAAGGTAGTCCAGCTGAAAACATAACTGCTTCCCAGTATGACAACCATCCGACTGTATTTTTAAGCCTGAGCTAACACCCCCCTCCCCTTTTATTGTGGTAAATTTACGTTATTTGCGGTACATTTGGATGACGTGGCTTTTTGTCTTCACTCACGTTTCCTTCCCATTGGAGAAACTGTGAAATTGCAAAGCTAGAGTTCTCCTGTGATGGTGACTCATCTTCCTGTGCATTTTGTCAAATATGTTCTATATGTTTTTCTCTTTTCTGGAATAAATTATTAAACCCACATCTCAGCTGTCAAATAAAACTATTTAACATAGTAAAAATAGGGATGTGTTGTTATTTTTTTCAAATAAAGTAATAGAATTGAAAGGGTAAAGTTCAACACTGTAAGAAATGACTAAACTTCAGGCATAAATCCTCCGCACAGCCACCTGTGCTATCTGTGCACTGTGCAGGTGTAAGTTTAGATAGTTTTATATTACAGGAAATGAGGCTGGTAGAGGATTGCAAAGAATTCTGTATCAACAAAATACTTGTTTGTAATTGACAGAGATTCAGACATTAAGAAACTGTTTTAATTTGGGGCTGCATGTCTTTGTCTCCTCAATTAGGAAACTCAGGATGATTCATCACTCCTGTGGCTTGATGAAATCCAAAAAGGAATTGATGATGCCAACAGAAACTTGGAAGATGCCTCAAAATGTAAGCACTCATCTAAATCTTTTAATGTTGCTTGTAGCAAAGATTAGGGAGCTCCCTGCCCCCCCTCCATATATGCCCCAAAGGACTTTGCAGCTCACTCATGGCTTTTGCTCCTAGCTGTGTATGCAGCCCCAAAAGTACAGAGTGTAAAACCCACATGAGCCTGGAGACATAGTTAATTGGTATAGATCTTTTTGGAGAGTATAGTTGCATAATGCCCCCCTGCCTTCTGATTGGTCAAAGATGAACCCTGTTGTTTCCATAGAAACCCTGAAATAAGAACATAAGAGAAGCAATGCTGGATCAGGCCATTAGCCTATCCAGTCAAACACTCTCTGTCACATAGTTGCCAAAACCCTGGTGCCATCAGGAGGTCCACCAGTGGGGCCAGAACACCAGAAGCCCTCCCACTATTGCCTCACCCAAGCACCAAGAATACAGAGCATCAGTGTCCCAGAAACAGAACAAAGTTTGAGTCCAGTGACACCTTTAAGACCATCAAAGTTTAATTCTGGGTATAAGCTTTTGTGTTTAAACGTTGTTGCTCTTAAAGGTGTCACTGGACTCAAACTTTGTTCTGTTGCTTCAGACCAACATGACTGCCATAGACATACATAATGCTCCATCTATATGTTGTGACTAATAGCCACTGATGGACCTCTGATCCATATGTTTATCTAATCGCCTCTTGAAGCTGTCTATGCTTGTAACTGCCACCTCTTCCTCGGCAGTGAATTCCACATGTTAATTACTCTTTGGGTGAAGAAGTACTTCCTTTTATCTGCTCTAAGTCTACTGCTCATTAATTTCATCGAATGTCCACGAGTTCTTGTATTGTGAGAAAGGGAGAAAATCACTTCATTTTCTATGTTCTCCATCCCATGCATAATTTTGTAAACCTCTATCATGTCACCCCTCAGGCGTCATTTCTCCAAGCTAAAGGAGCCCTAACCTCTTTAAATAGGGGACTAGCAAGTTACTACAAACCTTGGAATGCATGCTCTGCCTCACAATGAAGTTGGGAAAACCAAGTAATCCTTGTAAATTTTGAATTAGCTTAGAAATCGTAGCTTATGTTCTCTGTAGTTCCCTTATTTGTCTGTGTATGCTTAGAATAAACTTTTAAAAATTGGATCTTAGTCTTGAAATTTCTGAACCTTCTTCCCCCACAAGCCAGCTGCTCAGCTTACTCTACATGAATTGTTGAGGAAAGAGAGCCAGTTGCCTCACTAGAGGTGAGGAACTTTATCTGGTCTCCCTCCTTGAAGGTATTTTCTCTGCCATATACATACACACAATCTAGGGGTGGAGATCGAGAACTAGACTGGGGCAGTCTATCAGTGTTAAATAGTTGCCCTTCATAATGGCAGTACTGCCAGGAGTAAAGGATACCTCTGTATTTTGGTTCTGTGCATAGTGCCTCTTTAAATGTACACATATCACCACAGATCCTGTGCTCCTTTAAAATGACAAAACTGTGATTTGGTAGCTCAGTTGTGTGGATGGTTTTAAATAATAGATTTTTCTCAAGCTGTGGACTTTTAGACAAAAGTCCACAGCGAAATGCAAAAGATATTGAAATGTTCTTTTAAGAAGGCACCTGAAATTCTGCTCTTAGGACTTAAAATGGAAGAACTAAACACATTGAAAAAGACTATGTTCTGGTATTTGATAACAACAGCGAGAATGCTTTATGCGCAATGTTGGAAACAAGAGAAAATACCAGAAATAGAAGACTGGATACAAAAAGTTCTGTTCATGGCAGAAATGGATAAAATAACCAGAAAGTTGAATAACGAAGAAGACCAAGAATTTTTTGAAGAATGGAAGGACTTTAAAATGTACTTAGAAAAAAACTGGAATGTGAAACAAAACTTACTATGTTTAGAACAATATTAAGCTAATTGATGTTATCTTGAGATTTACTGACTATATGGGACAAAAGGGAGACGCATTGCGGGAAGCCGTTTGGGGGAGGGAGGGAAAAGGGGACAATTGGTTGATTAAAAGTTATATTAAACTGTTTGATAATACCCAAGAAAATAAAAGCTTTTAACAAAAAATAATAATAATAGATTTTTCTCAGTACATGAATTTATCACTTGACAACAGAGGCAAGGTTCTAAAGTTGTTTCACAACTGTCCTCTTGGACAGTCATGTGAGTTTTTCCTCAGTGACTCTAGTGTGTTAACTCATTCCCACCCACTCCCCTCCATACTTCAGTATTATGGATGGGTCATCAGGTTTGCAGAAGTTCCTACTGATGATACAATATGAAGGACTAAAGGAAGAAAGTGGTGTACTTTAAGGTCCAGAGAATAGGACTATTTATTGTCGAACTGAACAAAAGCCATTTTTGTTGATGGTTCCCAATTTATTTAGAAGGTCTGGGAACCTCTACAGAGGGGCTAACATGCTGAACAATATCACCAGTGATTTAGAAGA